GGACTGTTTTGCAGTCTACCAATGCGTTTGATAAAACTAAGCCATTCTACTGTAAGTTCTTCAGTAGAATGCTGAAACTCGGCACGACAGTCTAGGTTCACGGAAGATCTCCGAACACGGAAACAAAGAAAATGACGGGATACCTCAATAGGAATTGTAACCGTCTCGCTTTGTTTATCTTGATGTAAAGCGAAAATGCAAAATGATAATGACTTTCAACATTCCGCAACTTTCTTTTCTCTTCCAGGATATCACAGCTCATCTGATAATGTCACAACGAAGAGCATTTCAAGGAAACTGAAAAGAACTTTTAGCGAAGTTTCAAAAGATACAGAATTAACACGGTGTTCGCGCCTTTCGTAGGAAAAGCGTTTGATAGCCAAAAGCTTAGACTGAGGTAGGATTTTTGTAAAACACACCTTTTCCAAGGAAAAATGAGAGAAATGGATGCGGCATTTCAAGAAAAGAATCAGCTGGGACGAATCTATTGATAGCCGCCCATCCTTCTGGAACCTCGCGGAAACAAAAATAAATAAATAATTAAATAATGATATTCTTTAGGGTACATGAGACAACGGGGATTTATAACTTGCTATTTGCCACAGTCCTCAAAACATAATACTTAAACTAAACAGACAATAAAAGGATAAATTAACATTTGTGTCTAGTTTTGTGAACAAGTTGTGCGAGATAAAAGATCCTGTTTATTCACTAACGTTACATTACAAATTAAACTGAACAAAGCAAATGGACATACTAGTCTGCTACACAGCCGTTTTCACGTTTCACGCAACGCTCCTCCCCACTAACGGCAGATCCCCTCCACTAGTTGGGAGGAGCGTTACGTGACGACACTAAAAACGGCTGTGTGGGAGACTAATGGCCATACATGTGACAATAACTGATTCAGGAAATAAAGAAGGAGTCCCTTTTTCCGAACATGAGCACTATCAACCTCAATCTCCTTGTTGACTCAAATAAAACAAGCGCCTGGAACCAGTTTAGTTCAAGATTTACGATAATTATTTGGCCAATATATTTATATGACACGCAAACCATTAGTGACACAAAGCTTTCCTGCAGAAAAAGTAGCACGTAGAAAAGATCCTTGTTAGTTTTAGCATTTTGTAGCGTAATATAGCGGATCACGTTAGAGTATTATAAACTGAGTAGAGGTTTTCTAATAGCGATACTAACTAATAATCAACAAGCTACAAGAAAAACAGCTTAAACTTAAACTTGAAGATGGAAATTGTGGAAAAACTGATGGAAGTATTTACACTTTTAGTTTTGTGTAAATAAATAAGTACTTTAGTATCAAGTAATTTAATATTATAAATAGCTCTTAAGAAAATTTTTTAGGAATAAAGAGAAAAACAGGGCATACACTTGATCGACCAAAAGCGGTGAAGAAATATTTATCCTTTACGCTACTTTAGAACATTGATCTTGTAATCCAAACGGGAAAGCGAATTGAAGTGAGTTGAGCTTGTAAAGAACATCAATGAGAGTGCCCGCCAACCAAAATCGAGAGTCTACAATACTCCTCGCATTTGAACAAAGCTTTGAAACAGAGTAGCACAGAACTTACAAGAGTTAAAGAAAAAAAAAAGGTAAGAGCTTGATTTCGTGTCTACTGTCGTTTGTCCTTGAAGAACATTGTGCTCTCTAGACTGCAGTAGGGCAGTGTCTTCCTTTGGGCGGGACGGGGGGGGGGGGGGGGGGGGGGAGAA